TGTACTGTGACCATATTCACCTCTGTTACTCTTTTTCCTGTGTTCTCACTCCCACCAGTCTTCTATTCCTACCCAGTCTCTTTCTACTTTATGACATGAGTATGTATATCATATAGATGTATATGCACACATACATATACCTATATATACATATACAAACCCAAACATACAGACACACACATAGAGACACAGAGAGACAGACACACATATATGTACACATCGATTCCATATAGGAGGCAAAACATACACTATTTGAGTCTGATTTTTTTGCTCAATATGAGGTACCCCATTTTCATATATGTTCTGGCAAACTACATCAGTTAGTTCATCTTCATGTCTGAATAAAGTACAATACAGCATAGTATAGTATAGGATAGTATAATCTTTTTATTGCTGCAGTGAAACACGTGACTGATTAAAGCAGCTTAGGAAGTCATGGTTTACTTTATTGCAGTTTGAGGGACTCGAGTTGCATCCGTCATGGTGGGAAGGCATGGTGGCAGGAACTCGAGGCAGGTGGTCACATCATATCCGTATTTAATGAGCAGAGGGAGAGGCTGCCTGAGCTCAGCTACCTTTCTCCTTTTTTAATGCAGTGACCCAAGCTCTGGAATGGTGCTTCTCACTTTTAGGGTGGGTACTCCCACCTCAGTGAATCTAATCAGTCTGGTCTCTCACAGGCAGGGCCAGAGGTGACCTGAATCTAGGCTACCCCTCACAGACATGCCCAGAAGCTTGTCTTCCAGGTATATCCTGCCAACCACCAACACAAGTGCATTTTCATTTTTAAAAAATGAGATATTTTCTTTTCATTTTTTTTATTAAGAAATTTCCTGCTTATGCACCAGGGATGGATCTCGATTCCCGTGCCTGGGTGCCCCCTAAACTGTTTGAGCCAAACACCTGTCTTCCATATCTAGAGGGCCTAGTCCAGTCCTGTGGGGGCTCCATTGCCACCAGTCCACAGTTCATGGGCTTCCACTAGTGTGGCCGGTCATTTCTGCATGTCCTCCCATCATGATCTCGACATCCCTCACCTGCCCTCTCTCTCACCAATTGGATTCCTGGAGCTCAGCCTGGCACCTGACCCTGGATCTCCTCATCTGCCTCCATCAGTCACTGGACAAAACCTCTATGATGACAGTTAGGGTATTCACTAGAGCAGTCACCAGAGTAGACCAGTCCAGGAACCCTCTTTACCACTGCCAGCATACCAAGGTGGGGTTAACCTTGTGGATTCCTGCAAGCCTCCCCGGCACCCTACCTCTTCCTATTCCCATGAATTTTTGATTAGGACACACAAAATGTTTTCCTTAAGCATCTTTCCACATGTGCCGTTCTTCTTGGTTCTCACGGTTGCCCTCCTCCTCTTCCCTCTCCCGGGTCCCTTCTCTGCTGCCAACTGTTTTCCTTCCTCCCCGTAGTTCTTCCCACTTCGGCTTTTCTCTTCTTTTAAAAATGTGAGTGGTGTGTGGTTTGTGTGTGTGCATGTACACAAGGGTGTGGGTGTGTATGCACACATGAGAAGGCCAGAGCAAGGTGTCCAAGTGTCTTCCTCTCCCACTCTCCACCATATTTCCTTGAGATAGGATCTATCACCTAACCTGAAACTTGCTGACTGACCACTGGGCTCTTGAGACTCTTCTGTCCCCACTCCCCAGTGTTACAAGTATGTACAGCCATGCTTCCATGTATGCTTGTATGTGTGTGGATGCTGGAGATTTGAACTCAGATCCTCAAGCTACAAGTATAAGAGAGTATGCTTATCTACTGAGCCATCTCACCAGCCTTTTGTTTTCTTTCTTTTTAATCAAATGATTTTTGTTTTGGTTTTTCGAGACAGGGTTTCTTTGTGTAACCATGGCTGTCCTGGAACTTAGTCTGTAGCCCAGGCTGGCCTCAAACTCTCAGAGATCCACTTGCCTGTGCCTCTGCCTCTCAAGTGCTGGCATTAAAGTCATGTGCCACCACTGACTGTCTCAATTAACTTTTAAATTAAAATTCAGGCCAAATGTGATGACGCACAGACATCTTTAATCTCAGCACTCAGATCTCTGTTCACAGCCACATGTTTTGTTATTATTATTGCTGTTTTTCTCCCCAGGATAGTCCCCATTGCTGCTTTCCTGTTACGTAATCTGAATTACGAAACTTTCAATTTCCTACGGATCCTGAGTTTTCTTTTTCTCATGATCCCCTTCTTAGTTTTAACTCATACAAATACAAACATGCACACACACACACACACACACACACACACACACACACACTCAGACAGACACACACACAGTCACTATGTCAGAACTATGTCTGAAGATCAATTGTGAAAACAGTGAGACTTCTCTCTGGAAGTGTGCTGGTTAGTTTTCTTTCAACATGGCACAAGCTAGAGTCCTCTGGGAAGAAGGAACATCAACTGAGGTATTGTCCCCACCATATTGGCCTGTGGGCATGTCTGTGGGGCATTTTCTTGGTTAGTAATTGTTGTGGGAGCTACTCTATAGCTCCTTGGGAACCTGGCCCTCCTGACATCAGATGACTAGCTCTCTTTTCCTGTGTCTCTTCAGGGCAATCACCCCAGCCTTCCATCTGGGCATTTCCGGGAGCTGTGATTTCCACAGGCAGTGCTGTGACCATCTTCTGCAGGACCCCTCCAGGAGTGACTTATGTGCGTCTAATCAATGATAAAGGGTGGTTTGATGACACCCTACAGGGAGACCAGGAAGTGTGTGAGTTCAGTCTGCAGAATATGATACACAGCAATGCAGGGGTTTACCACTGTGAATACCACGATGGAAGTAAATGGTCC